TCTCTAAAACCTACCTGCCGTTTCTCCTCTACCCCCTGCCCACCCCAGCATTCAGCTCCCTGACCACACAGAGAGCTGTCTTAAGGCCAGAGACTGTCTCATTCATTCTTCCCCATAATGGTTTTAAAATGGGATGTGTAACTTAGTCAAATAACTATGGAGCATATGCAGACAATTCAGTCCAGCGTCTACCTTTGCAGGGGTTTTTTCTAGTTTATTTATTTTAAAAAAATGTTTAGAATGTTTTTGAGAGAGAGCATGAGCAGGGGAGGAGCAGAGAGAGGGAGACACAGAATCTGAAGCAGGCTCTAGGCTCTGAGCTGTCAGCACAGAGCCCATCACAGAGCTTGAACTCAAGCCAATCACTTAACTGAGCCACCCAGGCGCCCCTATTTATTTTTTAAAGTAATTTCCACACCCAACTTGGGGGTTGAACCTACAACCCTGAGATCAGGAGTCACTGAGCCCCTACCTTCGTGTTCTTGATTATATGCCCCTTACCCCCCACCCAACATTGGACTATAGAAGGAGGGATATAACATATAAATGTGTATACATTTGCATTTCTGGGACACTCTAGTTCTTGGGAGTAAAATGGATTACGTTATCTTCACTCTCACAATAATCCCCAAGTTGGAGATCCTCATCCCATGGTTACAGGTTTGGGAAATCACGATCTTTGGTTGACCAGTTTGCCCAGTATCATGTCCCCTTGGAAGAGGGGGAGGCAAGATACAAACCTGGGCAGTCCTTCCCACATGCCTCTGTCACAACCTCTGAAATTCCTCTTCTGATTCTTGGTGATGACAGTCTCTTCTGGCTTTCTCCTCCTCTGTATTTTGCGGATTCTTCCTCTTATGCCAGTACCTCTCTACCCTCTTCAATTTTTCTATACAGCTTCCTGGCTAACCAAACCAATGGCTTCAGATTCCACAGTAATGCCTCCCTATCTCCATCTCTAACTTAGTGTTCCCCAAGGGCACCACAGTCAAGCTCTGCCCAGCCACCAGTCTTTTACTCCAGGAGTCCTCATCTTGGGGAATGGCACCATTGTCCACCTGTCACCCATGTTAGCATCTTCTCTCTAGTCATCAAGTCATGTTAATTTTTCCATGGTATGTCTTGGCTCTAACCTATTATATCCCATTACCTTAGGTTAGGCCCTTTATCTCTTTCTTGGACTTTGTAGAAATCACCTCCCAACTAGTCTCCCTGGTGCTTACCTCCCACATCTATCTCCTTTACACCATCAGTTAGTTATTCATTGCCCAGTAGGTAAATTCCAGGCCCCTTTCCTTTCTAACTCCATGTCTTCCAACTCCCTATCTGACCCCTGTTGTCAAGGCACATAGAACTAATTGTGGAAAGAACTGTCTGGGTTCTTTGTCTTTACAGCTACAGCTGCCTCTACCTGGTATGTTCTTTGTCTTCTCCATCTGGCTCATTATTTGTAGCTTATACACCTTCCTGGCCTGAGTTAGCTCTGGCCGTCCCTACTTCTATCACCTTTCTTCTATCACCAGACTGTATTTACTTACAGATGCTACTTCTGTCACCTTTCTTACCAGACTATATTTACAGCTGGTTACCTCAACCTGTCATTGTCATTAAACTATAAGCTCCTGGAGGGCCAGGGACTGCCTCTGCTGCAGGCATTCAGGGAAAGACTTTTGAAAATAGGACATTGCAGTAGAGAGGCAGTACTGCAGAGGCAGAGCACAGGCTCTGGAGCCTGAATGCCTGGGACTGCAACCTAGCTCCCCACTTAACAGCTATGTGTCTCTTGGGCAATTTTTTTTTTATTCTGAGTCTCTGTTCCTCATCTATAAAATGGGGAGAATGGTATACCTTCCTCAAAGGGTCACTGTGCTGATTAAGAAAGCACTGGAACAGGGACTGGTACAAAGTTGGGACTTTGGTAGTGCTAGCCACTTACATAAAGGATTATTTAAGAGTATTTAGGAATAGCTTAGAGTTATTTAAGAATATTTGGTTAGTAAATTAAAAGAACAGGGGTGCCTGGCTGGCTCAGTCAATAGAGCATGTGATGAGTTCAAGTCACATATTGGGACATGGAGCCTACTTTTAAAAAAGGTTGAATATCCATCAGTACTTACCCTTTATAACAGCTGGGCTTCCAGTGGCTTCCAGTGTTGTATTAATAAAACAGAAGCCAAGCTTAAATCAAGGGGCAGTGGTCAGAAGAGTTTGGGAATATTTTGTTAATCAGGGAAGGTTTGAAAGGACAGGAGCGACGACAGACACAGGGGACCCATTAGGTGTTTGGTTCTTTATTTTCAGAAGCACCATTAATGTGACAAAGCTGCACGGACTATGCCTCTGTTGCACAGTGTTGAGAGTTTGATACCCCTATGGCCAAGGATTTATTATCAGTATCACTGTGAGGCAGGCAACCATCCCGAGAGCCGTCTATAATAGGAACCCTGTAAACTCACCATCACTGTAAAAATAGAATCAATACCCACAGTTCTCAGGATTTGTACACTTGGCTACCCTAAGTCTGCCCATTGACTCTAGAAATTCAATCTTAAGAGAAGTATTCAACAGAAGGAAAACAGTTCCACGGTTAAGCACTTTGCATGTATTGTCTCACCATCTTTGAGGTAGGCATTTCCATACTTTATAGATGAGAATATAGGATATAATCAGTGGCAGAGGACTGTCCCTCCAGACTGGTCAGAGCCCAGACTCCTACTATTACTAAGAATCAACAAACACCCATCATTTGAGCACTGATTTAATAAACTATGGTAGAACATTTTAAAACTTTGCAGTTTTAAAAAATTATGAAGACTGTACTAACTTGGAAAAATGTTGATACTAAAAGGTTCTACATTGGTAGGATTATAGGGATTAAGTTTTTAATTATAAATCCATCTTTTCAACTAAAAACTATACCACGTGCTACAAAGCCCAACTTTTAAAAACACATTGCAAAATCTTAATGTTCTGTTCAAATGTGAAACCCTAGAGTTGCTAGCACAAAGGATTGGGGTGGGGGAAACCAGGTCAGACTGGGCCTCACATGCTGTTGTGCAACATTACTTTCTAGATGGTGAGCCCAGCAGTTTTTTCTGCAGAACACTTACATTGCAAGATGTTTGGGGGGAGGGGGCTATAAAAGTCTGCATATTCTATGCTTTTAGCAAATTCATTCAAGTATTGGAACACCTACTACTTGTTCTGAGTACTTGGGGGAGGGGTGCGTGAGTGAACAAAAACCCTTGTTCTCAATGCCTACATTATGGTGGGTTGGGAGGAGAAACCGTATTTTTACATGTAGTGGGCAGGTGGGAGTGAGCCAAGATGGAGTCAGAAAAGTTTTTCTGAAGACTAAAGATATAACTGCACATTTATGTAGTTAATGAAAATGCCTATCAGCATACTAAAGACTTTCCTTAGATAATCATGGAACCCGTTAATCTACTCTCAAATTTTAACCACCAACGGAACCCCTTTTTATTGCATAATTAGACTCACTTTGGAGATTGTGGTCTGGTTCCCCTCTCACAATCAAAACTCCTCAGTTGCCTTTTGCTTTGTCCCCCTACAGAAGGTTCCTTGCCCCTGAGCTGGTTAGTGTGAGGTAGGGGGGAGAGATGAAGTTGATACTACTGTGAATGGTAACTTAGGGCAGCCCAGATTTTTGAATGCGTTAATACGGAGTTAATCCCACTTTAATTCAACAGTCTTAGAAGGGTAGTATCAATCCTGAAACTGTTTTGAGAATGAAGTTAAAATTGGGTTGAAACTGCAAATATAACTGTGTCCCACAGGTAAAATTGTAAAATCCTATCTTCCCTAAGGGATCCCACTAAAGTAAATGAATGAAACATATACATACATACAAAAGCAGTGGAGCGCTCATTACACATGAGGCACTCATCCTTGCTTTATTCACGCAGTAACATCTGACATTGGGAACTATGTGGGCATAGATACAAAATACGTAAGATGGCATCATAAACAGTTAAGTTCATCAGGGCAGTGGTGGCAGCTCAGCCAGTGTGTGGTTTCCCTGGGACCTACTTTCCTCCCATCACCACTTCATGGCCAAGATGTTTTAGAACATTTGGCCTGTACTTTAAAGGTCACAGTGATTAAAAACAACGTGGTTAAGACATGCAGGGCTGAGTGCTCCTGGGGCCACTTAGGAGTCTGGCAACAAGAGCATGAGGAGCAGCAATATGCCCTTATTGTCTTATGTGCAAGGCAGATCACAGCAGACAAATGAAGTGATCTTTCACCCTGTGTAGAATGGAGAAATAAATAACCACTTGCCCAAATGCTTAGAAGGCAGAACTGGAGGCACCAAAAGCACCACACAGGTAGGTAGCATCACCTCTTGGTTTCTCACAGTCACAATGAAAAGCTACTGTTAATATAGAAAATAGAAAAAGCATTTGTAGTGGGCCTTTTTCAAACCCAGAACACAAGTTAGGGAGGAAAAAGAAAAGCTTTCCCTAGGATCATAGTTTGAACGCAAGTTCTCTGTACAGTACATGCCACAGTGCTTCCTAACCAGTAGATTCCCAACTAGGGTTTTTCTCCACGTGCCAGTTATAAGAGATACTTACAAGCCAAGTTTCTAAGATTTTTCTTAGGGGTCAATAAGAAAGGAAATTCTGAGGGGGAGGGTACCTAGCACCTTTCATTCCCTCATATGGTTAACAGTGGGAGGACTTGGCAGTGAGGTAGTGACTATAACCCTCACATAATGAAAAGAATTCAAATCTGTGTAATCATTCCCTGACACTGAAAACAGGCTGTCCTTCCAGAGCTCATGCTCCAGCCACCCTCTCATGTGAAGCTTTGTCTCCAGAGACGTTGAGAAGAAAAATGGCTGCCCAGCTGAAGCAACTGCCAATCTCCAGTTTCACAGGATGAGACTATAGAGCCCTCGCCAGAGCCGAGGCACAAACTATTTCTGCTAAATTCATTAAGCACAATTTTTATAGAAAACTGAAGGACAAACCAAATTGGAAGAATCACTGTTATAATAACTTTAATTTATCTTGCATTTTACATAAGTCTATGAACGATTTTAAAAAAGCACCGCCTTACCCCATCACGTTTTTCTGACAGTTGTTAAAGTAGGCAATGAGTAGATCAACAGCTTGAGCATCGGCATCTTGCAAAGATTTCAGACCAACCAGCCACAAGCCAAAGAACTTGGCAGCTTTTCTATCTTGTATTTAATACAATGGTATATCCACTCTGATGATAAACCTGTCCAGCCAAATCTCCACAACACACTCTGAAAATCAGTGGTGGTTAGCCAATTAGTTAGCTTTGGCACGGAGCTGTGCTCGCTTGCCTGTGACAGCCTGGAAGCCGGTCTTGATGCTGGCAACAGAGCATCGAGAATGACAAGTTTCGCACTGTAAGAAATAGAGTCGGGTATCCTTTTGCAGGATTGTGTCCGGTGATCGGCATGTGTGACAGGTGACGTATTCCTCTGCAGAAAAAGCAACATAATTATTTCTCTGAAACATATTCTACACAGAACTCCGTAAGTCGAGACAGTACCCAGACTAAGGAGAGCTTTAGCTTAACTTAGACATTCTAGGGGTAAAAAGAAGGTTCAGGTACTAAAATCATGGGGTAAAAGACTCCAAATGTCCAAGGAGGCAGGGATGCTTGCCAGATGCCTGGTTCTGTCTACAGGAGAGCCACTCAGAACTAACTTGGGTGGGAACAGACCTGCCAATTTTAATTCATTAGGAAGATGATAAAGGCAGGCTAGGCCTGAATGCAAACAGATTTCTCTGTCTTGGCTTTCAGCCTATAGCCAACAGTAGCCTTAATCTACTGGGCCTTAAGAAGAAATCCAAACCCTTCTCCCACTATGCAGATGCCCAGAGTCCCCTCACTGTCCCACCTTCCCATCATTGTCATTTTCCCTCATCCCCAAAATACTGCAGCCTGATCGGAACATTTCAGAGTGAGATAATGTAATTAAACTATGCACTTACTGATATATCTTCTCAAAACATTTTCTATCTGTTTCTGTTGAAATCTTCCTTTGATTACAAGTTGATTATTTCCATCTATAGAACCACTATGAGAAAACAAATACCTCCATTATTGTTTCCTGTAAGTAACCAAATTTCAGGACCTTTATACACTTAATTTAAAATACATTCAGTGGGGGCGCCTGGGTGGCTCAGCTGGTTAAGCGTCCGACTTCAGCTCAGGTCATGATCTCACAGTTCATAGGTTCGAGTCTCATGTTGGGCTCTGTGTTGCCGGCTAGCTCAGAGCCTGGAGCCTGCTTCGGATTCTGTATCTCCCTCTCTGACCCTTCCCGCTCACACTGTCTCTTTATCAGAAATAAAAAACATTTTAAAAATAATAATGAAATATGTTCACTGGCATAGGAGCAGTCCGATACCACCTGGTTTCCAAAATTTGTTTTTAAAGCAGTTGGTGCCTGATGGACTACCCATATTTCCCAACATTAAGTCCAACTTCAACCAATTAAGTCTCTAATGACTTTTAAGTCTAATAAAACAAGTTGATTCTGTGAGTAAGCCATGTACAAGGCAGTGAGGGGGTCTATATATATTAAAATAGGAAGGGAGTTGTGTCTAAAAATTCTAAGCACTAAATATTTTGAAATCGTCATATAGTTGAAAATATTCTAAAATGGGTCATGGTAAGGCCTGTTCAACTATGTCACCATATTAAAAGCCATTTGTACATTAAATGTGTGAACTATATCTCTATAAAGCTGTTACCAATAAAGGTGAAATCACAGGCCACATATTGTCCCTGGTTCTTTAAGATGAACTTTTTGAAAAGCTGCTGACAAGAACTTAATGGTAAAGCTCTGGGCTAGACACTATCATTTGTGATTTGTAATTTTGAACAAAGTGAAACAACAGAATTCAGCCAGGTAGCATTAAATTTATATGTTTTGTATCTCATTATAAAAGTGACTTTTTAAGAACCCCTCCTGTGATTCTCCTTTAACTATAAGAGTTTATTATCATCTTCCATGGACTGTAAGTAACCCTTAATCTCCAGGCTACGGTGATTCCACTGCTTGATGTAAGACATTTTTTCCATTCACTGTCAAAAGACACTGAATTTTCTCAACAACCCCATAATATTTAGCCCACTGACCATAAGTTCACTGGTCACAACTTGTTACAATACCCCACTTCTACAAAAACTAAATTATTCAGAGAGGTAGGAAAACCACTGCTAGTTTTTATTGCATGTTTATAACAAATTTACACTTAAAACACAATTCTTCTGCAGTAGAGCCTACCTATCTACCAGTAGTCAAGTAAACCACTCCTTATCCTCAGAGCAAATGTAGCCAATTCCATCAAACTGAGTTTTAAGAAGAGTTTTAAGGAGGAAGAGAGCAGAACACCTTAGTTATCTCTGTAAGCCTTTTAAGAACTCAAACTCCAGAGATAGGCAGAACTGAGTCTGCCATCTTGACTATGACGTTAACTAGCTATGTGACCAACTACAACTTCAATGAAATGGTTTCCAAATCTGTATAGTATTACCTTCTACTTACAGTTCATAGGAGTGCTGTAAAGACTGAGACAGTACCGTGCTTGGCACAGTGCCTGACATACAGTAGGTAATCAGCATGGGTGAGTCACTATTATCATGCTGCTCTTAAGTCTACATCAGTTATCTTTAAGGGACTCCTAGTATTTATAGTCATACTCATTGGGATGGGCTCCAAGGGATTCTGGTCTCCCTGAATGGAGAGAAGCTGGCTTGGTGCCTTCAACAGATAAGCCTTGAAGACACGGAAATAACTAATTATGGATCTCTGTTTTAGGGTTTCTCCTGTGCCACTCATCAACTTATAAGCTCTTTTTCTTCAATAGCATATTAACAATTTAGAAAATAAATTCTGACCTAAGAAAATGGGTTTCCTCTGAAATCTAATATTTGTTCCATAAAAAGACCTAAGAATTCCAGTTAATGACAAGATACTAACAGGCCTGTATAGATGAGCCACTGATAATTCTCTTCTCTATTCCTGACCAGCCAAGCTCTCAAAAATGATTTCCCTCCCTCACTGGCCTAAAAATTTCTCTGATTAGTCAGGTGAATGTTCTTTCTAAGGGTGTTGTGTTGTATCCTTTTCAAGTGAAAAGTTCCTCTAAAACATCCAGTACTACTATATATAACTATATAAATGTGAATATAGTTTCTTACCTTGTACCCAATTCAGCCAATAAAAATGCAAGGAGATGTTTGGGCTGACGATGTAATCTAAAAAGAAAACAGAACACATAAACCTTATCTGTGGAACGAAATGATGAAATGTCTAAAACACCATCCTGTTCACTGTTTTAATCTGATTACCCAATTATTCAGTGAATTTTAGTGCATGGTTCATCAAATCTTGAAATAAAGATATATAGAATACCATTTATTTACATCTTAAAGCCCACAAAGCAATATGTTATTTATAAATACAGATATATGAATAAATGTCTAGAAATGGTAGACATGGTAGCACGACAACAGAAAAATTGGTAACAGCTTAAATATTCACCAACTGGAGAGCAGTTAAATAAGTTAATGGTACATCCATTCTATCTATATGACAACAAAAAGTACACATAGGAAAAAAGCAAGTACAGAGCAATGCCATTCAATATTTTCACTTTTTAATTCTCTTCACTTGGGACTGTTTGAACATGTTCCCAACAAGTACTACTATTGCGATTTTAAGGTTATTTTTTCCCAAAGTGTAGTGAGGATTGGCGAAAATAAAATAAGTAAGCTCCCACATTGCTAGTGGGAGTACAAATTTGTACAAGCTTATTGGAAAGCAGTTTGCCAATGTTTGCCATAAAAATATCCATTCCTTTTAACTCAGCAACTCCATTTTGAGAACTTTTGCCCTAAGGCTCTATTCTCAGTTATTGTCAAGATACATGTATCAGGATGTTTCCTGAAGCTTTGCTGCTGATCATGAAACATGGAAGAAACTGTATCCACCTAAGAGCTATTAGAGTATGTTGTGTAGCTACTAAAAACATTTGTGAAAACGGTTTAATCACGTGGGTAAATGTTCTGTAATATGCTAAGAGAAAAATAGGTTAAAAACCAGTATGACACCAATTTATTTTAAAATAACTACATGCACAAAACTAAATAAAACAGTATTAAACTATGATTACCTATCTCTTTATGATGTCTATAATTTTAACTGTAAAACACTCTTTAAAGAAGAAAAAGATCTGAAGCAAATGTTTCAAAATATATTACAGATGATTTTTCATTTTCTTGCATGTCTATGTTTTCTATACTACTGTTGTCATCACCAAAAATGTCCAAAATCTTTAAAGTAATACATATAATGAAAACCAGTGATTATCTCTGGGTGGTAAATTTTTAGAGATTATTCTCTTTTCTGTTCATCCTTGTTTTTGCCTTTTATCCACAATAAGCATGTATCATTTATGAAACTGAATAACAAAGAGTAGACAGATACGGTCAGTTGCCCTAAGAAGCCGGTCAGTAGAAATGCAGGGGAGCTGTCGGAAGTGAAAAACCCAGATAGTGACCTGAGGGTGATACAGAGAATGTGATGGTAATTAAGAAAGCTGAAATCTCACTGTGTCTTGACAATGACCATCCAAGAAGAGGCACACCAAATTCAACTGCTTTCCTGGAGCTCACCCTTGTACTTGTTTGGCAGGCCCACCCCAGCCTGATAAGCCTTTCCACCTCCCTGGGCTCCCCAGGCTCCTGTCTAAGGACAACATTCAGCCTCCTCCCTTTTCACTATATAGTTAGGATCCACACTCATGGGTCTCTCACCTCTGGATGCCTAATAAAACAAACCCTGAGACCTATGAATAGAAATACCTATGAAGAGAACAGACTTGAACTGTGACCTCCCTCAAACTAACCCAACATTCTACCTGCAACAAAGTGCACAATAAAGACATTTAACATAAACTCCTCTGAGACTCTGTTATTTGGAGTGGAGACTCCATTAACCAACTTACAGTTTACAGATATCTGTAAAGTTGACAAAAGAAGTTTTCTTTGTTCCTACTCGGACAACCTGTGGAGGTTTCATGACAAATTTCCTTTTCTCTCCAGCAACCATATCTGGATTCTTTTCCCTCATAATGTTGAACACTCGATTCAGTAGCTATAGAGAAACAATTGGTATTCAGGTACATTCTTACAAATAGCAGGAATATAAAGCTCCCACTTGAGTCACTGTTTTACTTCAAGCAAAGCAAACATCACTTTTTACTAAACACACACATATCACTACATGTTCTGGCAGTGCCATGAGAGCAAGACTCAATCCTTAACCAGGACCTGTTTCTCCATTACGGATGCTCAGTGACAGCCTGTTCAAAGTTAAATGAACAAATGAGACCCTAATAATTCTGCAGTTTTTATGGGAGAGTGTACAATACACGGAAAAGTAAGATTCAGGAAAGCTGAAACAAGCAAATTCCAGACTTACTCTGGGCCCAAATTCCTTCCTCTACTGCTCCCACAATTCTAAGGGGCCTCCATGACGTCAGAAGTTCATGGATTCAGATGCAACAATGAATACCATAATGACTGCAGAACTCTGGGTAGGCTGCCCCATATGAGGGCATCAGGCCAACACTGCACTCTTTGCATGACCTCTCTGGATCTGTTTCACTATCTGTTCTTCAATGGCCCTGCCAATTAAGTATAAATATCTTGCTCTTCTTTGAGTTCTAGTAACACTTAGCTCTTTTTCTTAACAGAATTTGTCTTACCTCCTCATATGTGTAGTCTCTTTCTGAGCCTGCCCAAGCAGGGCCTGTCTGGTTACTGAAGGAGATACCATCATCTTTTTTGCTATCTTCATCTTCTAAAGCTATAGATAACAAAGACTGTAAGAATGAGGGGTAGGCAGGAACAAAGTGAGGGGGGGCAGATCTAGAGAAATGAAAGCTTCAAAGACATGTGTCTTCCCTCCCACATAAAGCATAAAAGCATTAAGGATTATAAACAACCTGTCATTTCTTAAAGACAGGGATGTTACAACTTTTCATAAAAACTCTTAATAGAGACCTCTCTAATTAGGCATTTGTGATAAGAGGCATACCAAATTATTTCTTGATTTAACAAATGAGAAAATAATGGATAATGAGAAGAAAGAAGTCCAGCTGTTCTAAAGCACTTAAGAAACATCCACATCCATAAAAACCCATCTGCTGACTATCCTAAAGTTCTCTAAAGAACTTTAGTACTTAGAATAAAACAGCACTTTTAACCAAAAAAAAATCTTTAAATATTATTTAAAATCAGTTACAGTGATTTTCCCCACAGCCTTAATCAGCAGGCTTCCAATGTAACTGCCAAATTCTTCCCCCATGAAATCTGTCTTTATCAAGTTAGATATTCTTTCCTTTTTATAAATTTATTTTTAAATTTACATTCAAGTTAGCATACAGTGCAACAATGATTTCAGGAGTAGATTCCTTAATGCCCCTTACCCATTTAGCCCTCAGCAACCCTCTGTTTGTTCTCCATATTTAAGAGTCTGATACTCTTTCCTTTTAGCTTCCATTATCAGGCAGTGGAAATAAGGAGCAGGAAATAATAAGAAAGGACCAAGAGACTAAGTTAAAGTCTTGAGTATCCTAGAAATGAGCTACTGAGCCCCAATATTACCTTCGTCTTTCTCTAGTATTTCATCCTCCTCTGGGAACTTAACATTCTTCTTTTTCTTCTTTTTATTGCCAAGCATAATATCAAGGTCATCCTCTGGTTCAGCTGCTTCTTGGATATCACTTTCAATCTTAAGGTCCTAAGAAATTGAATAAGAGTTTCAGTATTTTGATACTAGGACTATTTTTTTTTTAATCTTTATTTTTGAGAGTGAGACAGAACAGTGTGTGAGCAGGGGAGAGGCAGACAAAGAATCTAAAACAGGCTCCTGGCTCTGAGCTGTCAGTACAGAGCCTGACGCAGGGCTCCAACCCAGGAACTGTGAGATCATGACCTAAGCCAAAGTCAGACGCCCAACCGAGTCACCCAGGCACCCCTAGGACTATTTTTTAAATGACATGGGCTGATATCATTTTGGAGGGAAACAAAAATAAAATATTCACAACTGAAGTGATAGGTAAGAAATGTCCTCACAGGTAGACCAAACTAGGTCAGACAGTCTTTGTCATTTAAACTGGAAATTCTTTAATACACTTTTTTAAAAGCAGACTCCATGCCCATGTGGGGCCTGAATTCACGACCCCGAGTTTAAGAGTCACATGTTTTTCTCACTGAACCAGCCAGTGTCTTTTTTTTTGTTTTTTTGTTTTTATATTTTTTATTTCTTTCTAGGAGAGAGAGAGAGAGAGAGAGAGAGACAGCATGAGCAGGGGAGGGTCAGAGAGAGAGGGAACCACAGACTGAAACAGGCTCCAGGCTCCGAGCTGGCAGTCAGCAAAGAGCCCGACGCGGGGCTTGAACCCACGAACCGCGAGATCATGACCTGAGCGAAAGTCAGACGCTTAACCGACTAAGCCACCCAGGCGCCCCCCAGCCAGTGTCTTTAAGACACTTTTGTGGGACTTTTTCCTTTATCCATCAGCCTGGAGATCTTATAATTATTGCCCATATTTCCAAACCAGGTCACTGTCATAAACACCTGGGAATCTTTAAAAGGCTCCTAAATCTTCTGATTAACAATCTTTAGCAGGAACAGGAGTATTCAGGAGTTTCTAAGTATTTTGATGCAATCACTGGGAGGGTTTTTTCCTCCTGACACCAAGCACGTGGTGTTTTCCACAGTAATTCTCCAACTCTCTGACATTAACTAGGTGGCCAATGATTCAATTCAATTCTGACACTGTACAGGCTCAGTGATAGACTCCATAGGTTTAATGGCTCAGTCCAAGACTGTCCTTATTTCAGAGGCCAATGCAAGGATAGGGTCCCCAATGTTTTACCCACACTTGGACAAGACTACAAATTTAGAACACGCCTCCACCCCATTTAATAATCTGCTAGAATGACTCACAGAATCTGGAAAAGCACTTCACATAACCATTACCAGTTTATTATAAAGGATACAATTCAGTAACAGTCAAATGGAAAAGATGCACAGAGTAAGAAAAGGGGGGAGGCAGGCAGGTGCAGAACTTACCTGGTTATACCATTCTTCCAACAGCCCCATGTGTCCACTAACTCTAAAGCTCTCCAACCTCCATTGCTGAAGGGTTTTTATGGAGGTTTTATTATATAGGCAGGATTAATTAAATCATTGTCCACTGGTGACTGACTCATCATCTCCAGCCCCTTTTTCCTGGAGGAGTATGTGTGTGTGAAATTTCCAATCCTTTAATCATGGCTTCATCTTTCTGACGATGAGCCCCCACCCTGAAGCATCCATGAGCTCCTAGTCACTAGTCATCTCAAAAGACTTTTGTCACTGCAGAAATGACAAGGGTTTTAGGAACTGTGTGCCAGGAACTGGGGACAAAGACCAAATATTTATTTTTTATTATACCATAATCAGCCTGGCACCAAACCGTGAAGAGGTCTTTTGGCATCATTTCAATAGATGACATCAGGAAAGAGAGAAAAGACAGAACCCAGAGAATTAGGGTCCCCTGATGAGTGGATGAAGACATGGTAAAGTCTGATCCCAAGATTGGCTGCTATAGTCATGGATGTAAATACGTCACTAGAAATGAGTCATACATACCCCAGGAAATCAGAAAGGGCCAGTCTCAGTCTCCAGCCTTCTAATCTCCTCCATCCTTTCACCAGCTTATCCTGCTTCCTACCCTGAAGTATGCTGTATTACCTATCATCATCTATTGTGCCTGCATCCTGAATTACTGACATTAGCCACTATAATTTCATAAATCTTCACAGAAAAGCTGGAAGAGCTGGAAGTAAATGAAGCTCAGCCTTGAGATTCCAAATCCAGCTGTGTAGTTTTTTTCAATGCCACATTTGGCCATCAAAGACCAAGTTAGCCCATGTGTATTAGCTGGATAACACATAAACAAGACAGCAGATATTAACTTAGTCTGAGTTGACAGTCAATAAATGAGAAACTTAAGATATGCTAACATAAACTAACAAACAATAGCCAATTTCTAGTCCTATACTATTATTTATTTCATCCCAGTAAGATCTACTTCCAAACTGAGGCTAAGACCCAGTGAAACACAGAAAATGGCAGTGTTTCTCAAGATTTTTAAAAAGCCATGTGATGGTCTAAAAAAACGCAATATCTTAAAAACACTTTAGTGTTTGATGGGCTGATGAGGACACTTTTAACAAGCTTTTATGTTTATGACTTGTCAATAGCAGAGAAAAACGTATTCAAGCACTTAGTAAGAATAGAGCTCACAAGCAACTCTTCAGGACAAAAGCTACTAGAGGAAATGCCCCCCCAAAAACCTTGTTAATCAAGACCTTCTGCAGCACATCTCTGATGTCACCTTGATACTCAGGAAATTAAAACCTCATTCATTCAGTATAATCTGAACCCTTCTTTCTCAATTTCCTTACAACAGTAGGTAGAGAAGAGAATCTCCAGACAGGAAGAAAGTAAGATGAATCCAGGTAAAATCACCTTGCTCTAAAGGACTCTCAATTATCCCTGAACTAAAATAATCTCTGAAAACAGAAGAATATCTTATTCATTTCAGTACTCTAGGAATTAGCCTGACTCATTGTAATTACCAATACATATCTGGTGAATTAACCAAGTTATCAAAATTACAACACTGTTTCTAAAACTAAATGAATTACTGTACACATTTCCTGTTACATGTGGGATATACCTTATTTACTTCAGTTCGAGCAAACCAAAGAAAAATTGGGGTAGAAGGCATAAAATGGGACATTTAGTACATGTGCATTTGTGTTCTCATGCTTGCTCCTTCTCACTTGTATATACATAAAATTGCTATTATCCTGAATTTTTTTTTAAATAGATGTGTGGGCTCTGCTCAAGATTCCTGGACAGAGTCTTTAAAACAGTAGCTCCACGGGTGCTTCTTGATTTTGGCTCAGGTCATGATCTCAAGAGATGTGAGACAGAGCCCTGCACTGGGCTCCATGCAGCGTGTGGAGCTTACCTAAGACTCTCTCTCTCTCGGCTCAGGTCATGATCTCAAGAGATGTGAGACAGAGCCCTGCACTGGGCTCAATGCAGCGTGTGGAGCTTACCTAAGATTCTCTCTCTCTCTCTCTCTCTCTCTCTCTCTCTCAGGGAGGGAGGGAGGGAGGGAGGAATAAATAAAATAGTAGCTCTAGGTAAAGGAATAATAGACTTTTATCTCCTTCCTGATCCACCCTCTTATTTACCTACCTACCCACACAATTATCTATTCTTATTCCAAGAGTTCTCAGGTATTTACATTGGAAACTGATCCAGTAACAAGTCAATCATAGGGCCTCATGTCCCTGCAAGATCAGAGAACCCTACAAAAGGAGCCGCAGTGCTCCTGTTCTCCTATAGGCCACAGATGATCAGCCACCAACCATCTCAAGCTGGGGTTCATTTTTTGCTGCTCAGAGGCACACATGTAAGTTTGTGTATCTTCAACATGCTACCACAAGTTTAACTGAAAAAACTATAGGAATATATGCTCCACAGGATTTCTCTCTTATAGAAATAGCTCTCCTCAGCTAATTGCAGTGTGGTTAAGGACAAGGGGCATTTTGTAATCATCTTGATGGCACACAATACAATGTTTAAAACCTAAATTTATATTCCTTTAAGTCATAATCCCTTTAAGACACCTAATCAGACCAAATCCCAAGAAAATGACCTCAAAAGTGATCAAGTACTTACTAACCAAAGCAAAGCTAGTTAAGAGACAAGACAAGGAGAGGGAAAAATCAGTCATTTAGCAACCTTTCGAGAGGTCAAATTTTACCTTCAATAAGAAAGCAATACTACCTTTACACCTTCTTCAGCTTCATCAATATCAAATATCTTTTTTGTTTTTTTCTTCTTTTTCTTCTGATTAAAGAAGTTCAAATCATCTAAATCATCAGAAGCATCTAAAAAGACAATTGAGATTAAAAATTATTAATAACTACCAGAAGACACAGTATCAAGAGTTAAACCAACATTTTAGATATTAATTAGTCAAGTTATCAGAATAGAGATCGAGTATCAATTAGTACAGTGGTCTCTCTACAACCAAAAAGATAATGGTTCTGAAAAAAACAATGGCATGTCAAGTCAAAGTTTTATAGGAAAAACCTGGTTAGGGGGCCATGTTGGGAACATTTATTTAGTAATCTGACCATATCATACCTCACTGTTCCCAAGACAAAGTCAGGGTTCTAACACAATTTCCAAGGCTCTCTAGTTTTCTCTATTTCTGCCTACCCTCTCATCTCCCTTATCTTAAACCCTGGTGCCAGCCAGACTAACTAATTACTTCCACTTCTTAGTAAACTTTATCCATTATTAGTGAGTAATAATGGGTTTATTCAATCAGTTTTCCATTTGCCCTGCCCTCTTGTACACTAGGAATACTTTATTTTAAATTTTATTATTAAAAAGATTTTTTTAAATGTTTACTTATTTTTGAGAGAGACAGAGAGACAGAATGTGAGCAGGGAAGGAGCAGAGAGAGAAGGAGACACAGAAGCTGAAGCAGGCTCCAGGCTGTGAGCTGTCAGCACAGCCTGATCCAGGACTTGAACCCACGAACCATGAGATCATGACCTGAGCTGAAGTTGGACGCTCAACCAACTGAGCCACCCAGGTGCCCCAGACTAGGACTATTTTAGGATTCCTCTACTACCAAGTTTTCCATGGAGCTATGAATGAATTCGTTTTGTCTTGTTACAAGAATTATTTACTTTTCAAGTTTGTTTTAAACACGTACAAGATGCTTACTTAGCACATAGAAGGTGCTCAATAAATGTCAGTTCTCCCCATCGCCAGCAGTGTCTTTTGTTCAGCAGATGTCAATTATGTTTACAGAATCATTTATTTCTAGTAGTCAAATAGTGTCTATGTTAGTACACAAGAGGGAATAACTAGTGTTGATATCTGAATCCAAACATTTTAGGATGTAATTTTAATATCTTCTATACATTTTCAGACTTGCTAAGACACAAAACTACCTATGTGGCCCTGTATCTTTCTGCCTATACTCAAATACAACCACAATTAAAATTGGAAAAGAGACCTGACAGGTTAGACTGGTAAAACCAGGCCTGGAATGATGGGGTTTTGTCATCTCTGCAACTTGTGGATTCAGTAAGAATTTCTCTGGAACAAGTTTATCAGAAATCTGGCAAGATCCAGTGGACATGGTCTGTTGATAGCCTCAACTTCACTGGAACAACCTTATCAGGCTGAGAGGTCACTGTATGTACAAAATCCAAAACATTCATGGAAGAGAACCAGTTCTCACAGCACAACAGTGACTCTCTCATATCTACCACTTACCTTTTTTCCTACTGTCCTCTTCATCGGCTTCTACATCTTTGTCCTCAGTTGGCTCTGGTTCTATTTCTTTTGTTTCTGAGGGCTGAGTTTCTTCTGTCTGGGCATCCCCTTCCTCATCTAACATAAAAGGCTTCTTCTTCTTCTTTTTCTTCTTGCTCATAGTAGGATCAAAAATCATCTGTTTAAAGGACAGTAAGAAAGAAAAAGGAAGTGATTGTTTAATAATACTCACATTCCAAACATGTTGTACTCTTAAAGGGTATACGCTTAAAAGTTAAACAGTATGCAGTGCATTAAAGTACCAAAAAGGATTTTACACACACCCACACTCCATTCAACCTTTATTATTAAATAGGGGTGGAGGTGGGATTTTGAAACATGTGCATGTGCCTTTAAATATGTAAACTGTCACAAGATACAGCAACTTCACTTTTTTTTTTTAAATGTTTTTATTTGAGAGAGAGAGAGAGAGCGCGCGAGTGAGCACGAGCAGGGGAGGGTCAGAGAGCGAGGGAGACACAGAATCTGAAGCAGGATCCAGGCTCTGAGCTAGCTGTCAGCACAGAGCCCGACGCGGGGCTTGAACACACGAACCTCAAGATCATGACCTGAGCCGAAGTCAGATGCTCAACCGACCGAGTCACCCAGGCGCCCCCAGCAACTTCACTTTTAAAATCATGAGCAAACTGGAGACTACAAATGCATCATGGAACTTAGAGAAGGGACCATAGAAATAACCTATACTATGCCCCCCATTTTTTAGAGGAGAAAACGAATGCCTAGGCAGGTTATACATGTTTTATTTAACGCTGGTAACCTGGGGTTGCTATACTAGACTTGATCTAAATAAAAAAAAAAATTCTTTCCCCCTCCAAGTTCAGATGAACCTTTATGAAACTCATCAGCAACCTTTCCTATAGCTAATCTCTGAGTAAGAGAAACTTCCATACGACCTTTTACTTTCCTTTTTGTTTCTAGAACATTGTTTCTAAAACACTGAAAGTTTTCTTAGGTTATTTTAAATCTAATGTCCACTAGAGAATAAGTGAAAAACTAATTTATAACTGGTGTTAGACTATTTGCGTACACAGATCACTTGGGAAAAAAATAAAAATAAAAAAAAACACAGATCATTATTTCAGCCCCAAAAGTTTAAGAACATATAGGGCAGATGCCTGGTAGAGAGGAAAAAGGTCTCTGAAGTAGAATTGAATTCAAATCCCAAATATTTTTTCTCTAAGTTACTTACATCTTTGTCCAAATTCTACCATGCTTAAATTTAGCATTTTGCCCAATGAACCACTGAAACAGTGAAGTATTTAAAAGTATAGGTGTGGGGGTGCCTGGGTGGCTCAGCCAGTTGCATGTCTGACTCTTGATTTTGGGCTCAGGTCATGATCTCACTGTTTGTGGATATGAGCCCTGCATCAGGCTCTGTGCTGACAGTGTGGAGCCTGCTTTTTCTGTCTCTTCCCCACCCCCCTAAACAAACAAACAAACAAACAAACACACAGGTCTGGAGTCCAACTGATTGAATGAAAATATTGACTCTCAATCTTACTTGTGTTATTCCAGGTAAGTTCTTGGCCTCTCCATGCTTCAGTTATAAAATGGAGATCAGTAGCAGAAGCAAAACCAAACCTCACAAATTTATGTAAATATAAGTTCATATATATTAAAAACACTTGGCACAGTGCCTGACACAAAAGTACTCAATAAATGTTAGCAATTATTAGAATTTATATAATGCTTCATGGTTCACAAATCATGCTGTCTCTTGATTCCTATCCCTCAAATTTCATCAAGGGTGAACAAATTTCTAAGACATCATGAAACTCAAAATTCCAAAAACGGATTCTAACATACCCAAGTACATTAGAGAAACTGAGCTACATTGAAACTAAACTAGGGTCTTTAATAAAGTAGGGTAGTCACTGTCTTCACCCAACAGAGAAGGATCAAGACATTCTGGAAATTGATAACAGCCTCATTTCAAAGACTTCCTCTTTTATTTTCACAAAGATTTAATAGTATAGCAAATGAATAATTCTGAAATGCAGTCTGAAGGACATTGCTGATTAAATTTAAAAAAAAAAAAAAAAGATGATGATGATAGTACAGGAGGAAGTTCTCCACTGCTGATCCACCTGGCCTTGGGTCACCTTACATGGAGTGTTGCAGTCTATTCCAGGGAGGTTATCTAGTTTATCCTCATTCCTGAAATATGGAGATTTGGCAAAAGGACAGCACTCTAGGCACTAAAAATTTGGATGTCTGGCAGGGCTTACAATTTATTGCATTTTTTTCAAGTATCAGGTTCTCTGGAATATTAATTAAGCCTTTATTATTCAGCAAAATATATGGAAAATTTGAGGGATTCTCAAATGAGTACTGCCTTACAGTTGTCATCTTATCCTATGATAAACATTTGTACTTAAAGTCTACAGGGGAACAGTTTGGTTGTAGCCTTCTAAAAAGCAATAAACAGGGGTGCTTGGGTGGCTCAGTCGGTTAAGCGTCCTGGCTTTGGCTCAGGTCATGATCTCAGTTTGTGGGTTCGAGCCCCGCATTGGGTTCTGTGCTGATAGCTAGCTCAGAGCGTAGAGCCTGTCTTCGGATTCTGTGTCTCCCTCTCTTTCTGTCCCTCTCCTGCTCATGCTGTCTCTGTCTCTCAAAAATAAATTAAAGAACATTAGGAAAAAAATGTAATAAATCTCTCAAAATAATTAACATCTCTCTCTGGATATTTAAGAAAAAAAGTAATAAATATCTCCCTCAAAATAATTAACATCTCTCTCTGGATATTTAAGACACATACTCATTGCCTCCCACCACCTAGCAAAGTCGATTTTAAAAATAAGGAAACTAGGGATCCCACAGCAGTGCCCAGAGCAGGAGTACTCAGGTCAATCCTGAGTAAAAATAATATAAATATAAAGCCAGGTCAGTCCTGAGTAAAAAAAAAAAAAAAAAAAAGTCTTCGTTTTCTTTTTCTTTAAGATTTTCATGTCTGACTTACAAATTATTGCATTCAAAATGTTTTATGAGACTTGCTTGGCTTTGAGCAGCAGTTGCTGATAATGCACTTATGGAAAACCACAGGATCTCTTGAGTGTTTTGTTTTGTTTTTGTTTTTAAGGCCCACAACAAAGCTTTCAAAAAGTTTCCCACTTGCAACTTCCTGGGTTGTACTGGGTTGGGCTGGAGGTGAGGAAAAGGGATACCAGTAAAAAATACCCTGAAGACAGCCTAAAATGCTTTATGAAAGAAATAACCTACTCTCATGCAACAGAATTTACCCAAGAAGCTACCTTTATGACCACACCACCCGCAGGAGGCAAGTGTTAGTTACCAAAGAACCTAGAGAAACAAGGTGAGAACAAATGCTAAGCATTGTCATGTCTGGGTAACAGGATCCTAAAAAAAATTTTATTTTGTATTCTTCTGTTTTGTAAATCTTGTACCACACATCCATTTTTAGTCAGAAATCTTATTTTTTTTAGTTTAAAGCTCCTTTTGTAAAACATCCATGTTGTGTGAAAACCCAATGTTTATGATACCTGTGAATGGGACCTACTAATAAGTAACCTTAGCTACTGACAGCACTTTTTTTAAAAAAGGTCTTTAACAAATGCCTGATTAGGGAATTTTTCCTTACTAGGTAGCACCCCATAATTCTACAACACTGCTTTTTAAAGGCCATGGTTCCACAAGGTTAAAGAAGTTCTATACTGGTGAGTTTCTGGCTTAATTACCAGGTTTAAAAAGAAATATGTGGTTTATTTCAATTATACATCAATAAGGTGTTTAAAGAAATGTGAAGAGGAAAAAAAAAAGTTAGCAGTAGGTTCTTTAACCCTCTATCCTAGCCCAGGAATTCTACTCTCGGGGAGTCCCTGGCAATTATAAGCCATTTCCATGTACAAATGTTAACCTGATCCTTATAAGTCTGTAAAGCAGTCAGAAGTTAATGGCTGACCTAAGAATACTTATCTAGTTAACAATACTAGAGGAACCAGACCCTGCACATACCTCCATAGTGGAAGCCAAAGGCTGAGAGGTTCTAGTCGTCTTGCTGTGTGATCTTGGGCAAGTTAACCTCCCTAGGCCCTCGTTTCCTGCCTATAAAATGAAGTTGGACTGGCAGACCTGTGAAGTTGCTAAGCTGCTTAATACTTTATTGGCTTCCAAAGCCTTCTGTTGGAATGCTGGTTCTGTCATGTCTGCTTGACAAAATCCTTTTCACCCTTCAATAATGTATTCACATTCCACTTCCTTCAAAACCCGACCCCACTGTTAAAGCTGAATCCTCCAGCTCCCCAACTATGTTGAAATGACCCTATTTCTTCTACCTCTTGTAGCAACTAGATCTCTTACCTTCCTTACAACACTTGTGAGTACTTTACCATAAAACCCACTGACTGAATACTACCCCACAATACATACATTAGGCACTTTGTTAAAGGTTATGAGAAGCTTAGAAAAAAAAAAACAAGCACGAAAACATTGCTACTCTCAGAACTTTTGAAATACAGTAGCCAGAACAATATCTTGAAGGTCAGAGCATGACCTCCAAGCAAGAAACCACCTACTTCATTTATACTGTTTCTCTCCTAACAGATCAAGAGCCTGTTAGTTACCTAGATGGAGGCAATACTGCATAGGCAATACTGCATAGATCTGGAATTCTACTACTGGTTCCACCACTTACTGTTTAATCATGGACATCATACAACTCTGAGCCTCTGTTCTCTCATCTCTAAAACGGGCATAATAATGATACAATTTTACAGGGTATTTGTGAACATCAAATATGAGATTGGAGTCCCCTCCAGAATAAAATCAAAATTCCTTAATACGGTCTTCTTCAAATCCTTCTGTGAATTAGCCACCACACGTATTTCAAGGGGATTAACTCTAACCAAGCTGCAGAATATTCTTTCTGTGATTACATGTACTTCTCAACCACTCCCTTACCCTGTGATCAGGCCTTTCCACTACTTGTGGAAATCCTCAGCATCGTTCAGGGTCTACCTAAAAATCCAACGCTCCAGGAAGCCTCGATTTTTATCCCTAACTCCTCTCCAAGGCGCTAGAGGCCAAGCACTCCAATATTTACAAAGTGAATATAAACTCAAGAGCATTGTTTTTGGCGGGGAGACCTGGCCGGTAAGCCGTAGCTTTCCCCCCAGTGTTGATTAACACATACTGTCAGTACTTAGAATCAAATTTCATTATAAGCCATTTGATTTTAAGTTACCTGGAACCAACCTGGCTAAAAAAGATTTGAGAAAACTTGCTGAGGAAGCACGGCAGGGGAAACCGATCCAGCCAGCTTTGCAGCCGGATCTTCCCGCTCACGTCTCTCGTGAGCTCTCAGTTCAGGAAGGCTCAGGGACTCCCGCCCTAAAACTTTCCGAAGTCAGTCACTTTTTGAGGCCGAAGGATCTTTTCCTCTCGTCCTATCTCCCTCACCCCTCGGTCTTTTTAAGAAATAATGCTCGATATGAGTTAGCGTAAGGGCGGACACCGGCCAGAACAAGACAGCCTTCAAAGTTTTTAACGAAGGCGCTCCGCCGGAGCTGAGAAAGGCTCCTCTCAGCACTCCCGGCGCCCCGAGAGGAGAGCTGGTGCCCCAGTGTCAAATCGAAAGGAATGCAGGAGTCGCCAGTCCCAATCTCTTCGGGGAATTACCCAGATATCCAACTCCCTTCTAAGACGGCAACTCAAAGAGCCCTCAATTCTGGAAAGCCGGCCAACGGAAGGACGCAGGCCTCCGCGCCGCCGCCCTGAGGAGAGCCGGGCGCGGCCAGGCCCGCGGCTCCGAAGTCCTCACTAGCTCTACCGCTCCGGGCCGCCTAGGCCCGGCTACTCCACATGGCGGCGGCCGGCTGCTAGGCCGCAGGCCCGGTCTCCCACACTGGGGTGGGGTGGGTTCCTCGCCTCAGTCCTTAGCCCTAGAGCCAGGCTCAGACCCTCACCTCGTCCCCGGACATGGCTGCAGCTCGAGTGGGCTCGGCACAGACGGGAAGTCGGACGGGTCAGCCCCAGGCCCCAGCGGCAGCGTTGCTCCTGCCGACACTTCTCCCACCACCGCACTAGGCTCTTGCATCAGCGAAAGGGAACGACACCCCGCCCTCTCCTCCCAAGCGTTGGAAATACGCCTGCGCAGAGCCGCTAAGGCGCAAGCGCGCGCCGGAGCGGACCTGGAGCACTCTGTCTGGCGCGAGTTACCAGGCGACGGCGCGGCGCCAGGCAAGCTGGGACTTGTAGTCAGCGGAGAAGAGGCGAGCACTTGAGGCACGCCGCCCAGCGATCAGCGCGCTTCTGCTACATCTGAGGCAGCTTGCCGGGAGATTGGTTCTTGCAGGTGGCTGCTCTTACTTCAGTCTTTCACCGCCCAGAGGTTTCTGCGCTGTTCTGCACGGCTTGTGGAATGAATTCGGGGCCATTTATCCTGGGTTAGGATAGGGGGTGAGAGCTCAATAATATGAGCCCGTTAGGGCTTTAGTTTCCTTGCTCCTACCTTAACTATGCGCCCTCGAGGTTTTCTAATGTTTGAGGAACTCATTGGTGCTAGAGGCGCGCACCTCACTCAAGAGCCTTTACGGCTCACTCGGTTAAGCGTTGGACTTCAAGCGCTGGACTTTGACTTCCGTCATGAATTCGTGGTTAGTGGCTTCGAGCCCCACATGGAGCTCTGTGCTGACAGCTCAGAGCCTGGAGCATGCTTCGGATTCTGTGTCTCCCTCTCTTCCTGCCCCCCACCCCCGGCTCGCTCTCAGTCTCTCTCTCTCTCAAAAATAGACATTTAAAAATTTTTTAAAGAGGTTTTACTTAATGAGAATTTTTTAAAGTTTATTTATTTTGAGAGAGAGAGAGAGAACATGAGACAGAGAGAGGGAGAGAGAATTTCCAGGCCGACTTTGTGCTATCGACTTCGTGCTGATAGCGTGGGGCCCATCGCAGGGCTTGAACCCACAAACTGTGAGATCATGACCTGAGGTGAAACCAAGAGTCTTAACCTACTGAGAGGCGCCCCTGCTTAAGGAGAAATTTAGCCTGACAGGCTAGATTTCAACTTGGGACGTCCAGAACCAAAAGTCTTCTCTCTATAGTCTTGAGAGAAGATGTCCCCGAAAAGAAACAGCCTGCCAGCAGTCTGTCAAGAAGCCTGAAAACACGTGTTTATGAAATCTCTGTTTGAATGCTGTGGGTGCATCATGCAATTCCCCTTGAGGCATAAAAATACCAGAAAAAAAGCAGAAAAGAAGTATTTATTTGGAATGAGGGAAAGAATGAGCAGGGGAGGGGCCGAGAGAGAGAGAGAGAGAGAGAAGGAGAGAGTCTCAAGCATGCCCCAGGCTCCCAGTGTGGAACCTGACCAGGGGCTTGAGCCCACCAACTGAGTTCATGACCTGAGCCAAAATCAAAAGTCAGAGGTCCAACCAACTGAGCCATCCAGTTGCCTTAAAAGCAGTTATCTTTTAAGGAGCTCTCGCCATTGTTGGTGGCCTCTAACCAAAGACCCCTGAGAACACAGCTATGGTTGAACAAAGCTGGGCTTATTGTGAAGGATGGGCACATTCAGCAAGAGGGTCTTGGAAAGAATTTATATATGGGCATGTGTTAGGTAACTTTAAGGAGTGTTTCAAGGAAGCAGGCCTTCTATCTAGACTGGTTGCTGTTTTGAGGTGTTGGTAATTCTATGATGGGGTATTTTAATAATTCTTATTTAAAAAGGAAGAAGAGGGGCACCTGGGTGGCTTAGTCGGTTAGGCGACCAACTTTCGCTTGGGTCATGATCTCGCGGTTCATGGGTTCGAGCCCCGCGTCAGGCTCTGTGCTGACTGCCAGCTCAGAGCCTGGAGCCTGTTTCAGAGTCTGTGACTCCCTCTCTCTCTGACCCTCCCCTGCTCACGCTGTCTCTCTCTCTCTCTCCTAGAAATAAAAGAAAGAAAGAAAGAAAGAAGCAAAGAAAGAAAGAAAATCCCTAAAACACTTTGAATGGAGAGGAAAACAGTGTGTCTAAGGTTTTGGAAAGGCTATTCAACTAGAAAAATGAACACTGAGACAAAGTACAGGCAAATAAGGTGGGGAAGAAACAGAGGTGATTAAAGTGGAGGGGAGCTCTTAGGAAATCACCCGTATGTTATTCAGTTCACACTAACAAAGACACAAAAAGGTCTTTAAAAATTTTTTTTTAATGTTTTTAAATTATTTCTGAGAGAGAGAGACACAGCGTGAGCAGGGGAGAGTCAGAGAGAGAGGGAGACACAGAATCCGAAACGGGCTCCAGGCTCTGAGCTAGCTGTCAGCACAGAGCCTGACGTGGGGCTCGAACCCATGAACCGTAAGGTCATGACCTGAGCTGAAGTTGGTGCTTAACCGACTGAGCCACCCAGGCACCCCTAAAGACACACAAAAAGTCCTTTTTTTTTTTTTTTAATGTTTTATTTATTTCTAGGAGAAAGAGAGGCAGCATGAGCAGGGGAGGGTCAGAGAGAGAGGGAGTCACAGACTCTGAAACAGGCTCCAGGCTCTGAGCTGGCAGTCAGCACAGAGCCTGACGCGGGGCTCGAACCCACGAACCGCAAGGTCATGACCTAAGCTAAAGTCGGACGCTTAACCGACTAAGCCACCCAGGCGCCCTGAGACACAAAGAGTCTTAATGAGGCCTCATAGTACCTCTGATCCATGTTTGGGAAATGATAACAAATAGTCTTGACCACTTTTCTGAAAAGACTTCTTTTCCATTACCGCATGGTCCCAGGTCTGACTTCCCCAAACTAGCTACTTGCAGGAGACTCTTCAGAGATTTCAGGTATCCCCCAAGGTAGTAGCTTGTTTTCCAGGAAAGCCAAGATTCCCTGGGGAGCTGACAAAAGTTACAAAGTAATGACAGCTAACCTTTTCCAGGTTTTCTAAAAGGTAGATCCTACTTAGAGTAAGCTAATAAGAGTATCAATACAAATAATTACTTGTGTCTTCCTAACCTCTTTCATCTAAGAATCTCTGCAAAATATATAGACATATATTAATTTTCTTCTCATTACAGTGAGGGAAATCATTGTGATTTTTGTTTTATAGATACAGAAGCCAAGTTTTGGAGTCCACAAAAATAGTGAGAAATCCAGATATAGACAATTGGAATATTCACTCTTGGGCCATTCTTGATGCTTAGCACCACTCCAAATCTCCAGCTACTCAATATAAAGGTAATGATAATCCTTCAAGTGTATACAAAATTTTATGTTTTCATAAGCTTTAAAATAATCCATAGTCTTGGAGCACCTGGATGGCTCAGTTGGTTAAGCATCTGACTCTTGATTTCGGCTGTCATAGTTTGTGGTTTCGAGCCCTGCTTTGGGGTCTGCACTGGCAGTGCAGAACCTGCTTGGGATTCTCTTTCTCCCCCACCCAACCACTCCACTGAGTTCCAGCCACAGATATCCAAGTACCTACTTTTTCTATGTTTGCTTGTCTCAGAGAGATCTCAAAGTCACTGTATTTAAAACAGAATTCTGGGTATTTTCTGCTACATGTCTTCCTCATTTCATAAATTAAGGGCACTGCTCTCTACCTAGATGCTTGTTAACTCCCTTCCTTCCTTTTCCTCACCCTCTTCATCCAATTCATTATCAAGTCTTGTTGATTCTGTGTCCAAAATAAATCTCCAATCCTACCACTTCTATCTCCACTGCTGCTAGTTTAGTCTAGGTGACTGTTAAGTCTTTCTTGGATACTACATTCTCCTCTTGACCTTTTCCTTCATTACACTTACCACAATTTGTTTCATTTATTGGTCAGTTGTTTACCTGTGATTTTCATAATCTCACTTCACTTCTAGAGTGTATATAAATTCCTTGAGGATAATTTGTTGAATTAATGGATGAAAATCCAATAGTATTGAAATTTTAACATGATTGCTTATGGTGATATAGTTGACGTTGGAGCCTTTATTTAACAATAAATGGTAAAAAAAAAAATACTGAAGCTAACATAATAAAAATCAACTGTGATGCAATATGTCTAAAAGAGTGTGTTAGAATTGAAATGGTTCACCTGGAATCCAGAAAGAGAATCCTCAACTTGGATACATCCATGTCTTCTTCTTTTCTTTCTTTCTTTTCCTTCCTTCCTTCCTTCCTTTCCAAAGGAGAAATAATAATTTTTATTATTATTATTGAAATATAATTAACATACCGTGTTCTATTAGTTTCAGGTATACAATGTAATGATTAAACAATTCTATATATTACTCAGTACTCCTCAAGTGTTCTCTTAATCCCTTTTATCTATTTTACTGCCCCCTCCCACAACCACTAGTTTGTCCTCTATATTTAAGAGTGTTTTTGTTTGTCTCCTTTTTTATTTGTTTTTTCCCCCATTTGTTTTGTTTCTTAAATTCCACATATGAGTGAAATCATATGCTATTTGTCTTTGACATGTTTCATTTGGCATTATACCCTCTAGGGCCATCCATGTTGTTGCAAACTCAAGATCTCTTTCCTTTTTATTGCTAATTTTCCATTGTATGTATGTACCATGTCATTTTTTTAAAAGCTTGATTTATAACACTATTTATTTACTTATTTATTTTAATTCCAGATAAATACCGCATCTTCTTTTTTTAAATGTTTATTTATTTGGGGGGAGGAGCAGAGAGAGAGGGAGACACAGAATTTGAATCAGGATTCAGGCTCTGAGCTGTCAGCACAGAACCTGATGCGGAGCTTGAACTCATGAACTGTGAGATCATGACCTGAGCCGAAGTTGGATGCTTAACTGAGTGAGCCACCCAGGTGCCTCTACATCTTTTTACATTCATCTATGGATGGACACTTAGGCTGCTTCCATATCTTGGCTATTATAAGTAATGTTGCAATAAACAAATAAACAACATGTTGTATGTATGTAGGAGTACATATAGCTTTTGGAATTTGTGTTCTTGTTTTCTTTGGGTGAATACCTAGTAGTACTATAGGTTACATTACTAAAGCTATATGTAATTAGTACATATAGCTTTTGGAATTTGTGTTTCTGTTTTCTTTGGGCAAGTACCTAGTAGTGCAATTACTAGATCATATGATAATTCTATTTTTACAATTTTTTGAGGAACCTCTATACTGTTTTCCACAGTAGTTGCACCAATTTACATTCCCACCAACTGTGCACAAGGGTTCCTTTTTCTTTAAATCCTTGCCAACGCTTGTTACCTCTTGTATTTTTTTTTAACTTTATTTTTTAAATTTATTTCTAGGGGAGAGAGAGAGAGAGCGTGAACAGGGAAGGTTAGAGAGAGAGGGAGACACAGACTCTGAAACAGGCTCCAGGCTCTGAGCTTGCTGTCGGCACAGAGCCCGACGCGGGGCTCGAACCCACGAACCGCGAGATCATGACCTAAGCGAAAGTTGGACGCTTAACCGACTAAGCCACCCAGGCGCCCCTTACCTCTTGTATTTTTGATTCTAGCCATTCTGACAGATGCAAGGTGATATCTCATTATGGTTTTGAATTTCATTTCCCTGATGATTAGTGATGTTGAGAATCTTTTCATATGTCTGTTGGCCACCACTTGTATGTCTTCTTTGGAAAAATGTCTATTCAGGTCCTCTGCTCACTTATTAAATTGTATTTTTTGGGGGGTATTTTTGGTGTTGAGTTGTATATGTTTTTTTGTATATTTTGGATATTAACCCAAATAATTTTGGGTTAATTAAGCAGCCTAATTAAATAATTTTGGATATATTATTTGCAAATATCTTCTCCATTCAGTAGGTTTCCTTGTCGTTTTATTGATGGCTTCTTTTTTTTTTTTTAATGTTTTATTTATTTCTGATAGAGAGAGAGACAGCATGAGCAGGGGAGGATCAGAGAGAGAAGGAGACGCAGAATCAGAAGTAGGCTCTGGGCTCTGAGCTAGCTGTCAGCACAGAGCCGGACGCGGGGCTCGAACCCACAAACCGTGTGATCATGACCTGAGCCAAAGTCAGACGCTTACCCGACTGAGCCATCCAGGTGCCCCACTGATGGCTTCTTTCACTGTGCAAAAGCTTTTTATTTTGGTGTAGTCCCAATAGTTTAATTTGCTTTTGTTTCCCTCACCGAATAGCTAGAAAAATGTTTTTATGGCTAATGTTAAAGAAATTACCGCCTCTATGTGTTCTTCTAGGAGTTATGGTTTCAAGTCTCACATTTAGGACTTTAATCCATTTTGAGTATATTTTTGTGTATGTGTAAGAAAGTGGTCCAGTTTCTTTTTCTTTTCTTCTCTTTCTTTTTCTTTCTTTCTTTCTTTTTTTTTTTTTTTGCATGTAGCTGTCCAGTTTTGCCAGCACCATTTGTTGAAGAGACTTTCTTTTCCCCATGATACATTCTTGCCTCCTTTGCCAATTAATTACCATATAAGCACGGGTTTATTTCTGGGGTCTCTATTCTGTTCTATTGATCTATGTGTCTGTTTTTTTGCTAGTAACATGCTGTTTTGATTACTTCAGCTTTGTAGTGCATCTTGATGGCCATGTTTGTTTTCATCCAGCAATGTTCATGATAGAGAAATCATAAATCCAAAGAACATTGTTAAGCTATTCATTATAAGGTATACTTGTTCTAGTACACAGAAATACTTGTGGCCAGAATGAAATGGACTTTAAAATCATCCACCTCTTTTTTTTCTGATCATTCATCAAAGAATATTTTGATTATCAACTTAGATTCCCTGGTAATGAAATACTTTGGACAGCAGACACAAATATTTCAGTCACTGGAAAAATATATTCCATGCTAGAATGTAACTTTGCTAGGGCAGGAAATTGTTAATCACAGCTGTGTCCCTAGAACCTAGAATAGTGCTTAGCACAAAGTAGATTCTTTGTGTTCAATGAATGAATGAACATTAGTAAATTAGAATTATACTTTATACCACGTTTTCTTGTGAATTTGGTTATTGTGAGTCAATCCTCAAGTATCTGTTCCATGCTAGATGCATTAGGAATATCAGATTTATGGTCTTGAAGATCAAATATGAAATCCTGAACTCTTAGTGCTCTACCACAAGTGTCCGCAAGACCAGCCAGTTAACCAGCTGATCTCCTTTGATGTCTCCTTCTTGATTCTCTTTAACTCCAATTCATCTTCCATCGAGCCCACAAATTTTATTTAAAAAAATCCAATCATATTGTTCCTCTGCCTAAAAATCAGTTAATTCTGTTATCTTCAGAATAATAGTTATCTATAGTCTACTTCTCCAGCTCTCCTACCACTTTACTCTCTACTCTTCTTTCTACTCTCTATCAGGTATTATCAGTTCCAGCCACACTGAATTACTTTATATTTCCTGAACATGCTGTTCCTCTGGCTGGAATGTTCATCCCTCCTCTTCCTAGGTGATGAACTCCTGTCATCCTTTAAGATACAACTTAGATGTTACTTTTTATTTTATTCTTTTTTTTTTTACAAGTAGTTTATTGTCAAGTTGGTTTCCATATAACATCCAGTGCTCATCCCCACAAGTGCCCTCCTCCATGCCCATCTCCTCCCTCCCCCCCCCATCCATCAGTCCTCAGTTTGTTCTCAGCATTCAAGAGTCTCTCATGATTTGCCTCCCTCCTTCTCCCCCACTATTTCCCCCGTTCTTCTCCCCCCCACCCCCCGCCACGGTCCTCCGTTAAGTTCCTCCTAATCCTCCTATATGTGCAAACATATGGTATTTGTCCTTCTCTGCCGGACTTATTTCGCTCAGCATAACACCCTCAAGGTCCATCCATGTTGCTACACATGGCCACATTTCATTCTTTCTCATTGCCATGTAGTATTCCATCGTATAGATAAACCACATCTTCTTGATCCATTCGTCCGTTGATGGACACTTAGGCTCTTGCCATGTTTTGGCTATTGTTGAGAGTACTGCTGTGAACATTGGGGTACATGTGCCCCTATGCATCAGCAGTCCTGTATCCCTTGGGTAAATTCCTAGCAGTGCTATTGCTGGGTCATAGGGGAGTTCTATTGTTAATTTTTTGAGGAACCTCCACACTGTTTTCCAGAGGGGCTGCACCAGTTTACATTCCCACCAACAGTGTAGGAAGGTGCCCGTTTCTCCACATCCTCGCCAGCATTAGATGTTACTTTTTAAAAGAAGTTTATGACTTCTCTAGAGGGGAAAAACTCTTCCTGCTTGCCTTCTCTCATTCCCCTACAACAGCCCTTATCACAT